TTCCTAGTGCATGTACAGACATTGCTGGGACACAGGTTCCCAAGAGAAACCTGGCAGGCACCATGCCCCTAACGTTGAGAGCCCAGAAGTCTGTTCACACTCCCTAGCACACACTTGGAAATGGGTGGAAGTAAGGCAGAGAAAGACTAAAAGGATATCTGAGATAGATGACAGGTCACAGTGAGGGAGCCTCCATAAATGGGGTCCTCAAAGGCCTCCAAGAAGTAGAGTTCTATAAAGCCTGTGTTGAGAACTAGAATACTGATGGGCTATGGAGTGGACGTGTTGGGTCGGAGGGTACAGATAAAGGGTGGGAAGTCCAGGGATGGGTACAGGGGAGCCAGCAGTGCCAGAAGAGGGCCTGGCAGTGGGCAGGAGCATGCTATAGTTTTGAGGGTCCTTCTCAGGTGACCATTACCTCTCTGGACACACCTGAGCTCCATGTAGGGGAGTACTAGACTCTGAACTCCTGGGCCCCCTCACTGTTCACTGTGAGGCTTTGAAAAAAAGGGGGGTCTCTGGACTCCTAGTGGAGCAGCTGTCTCAAAGGTCCTGTTCTCCTCTAGGGGAGTAGGTGACACAGGTGTGTTCATGGTGAGACAATGCCCCAAGCTTGGCTTCTACTGGGTGTTCTGCCTTGGGGTATGAATGAATATGAGGACATGTTCACTCCAAGGTATGGTTGAAGAAAGGCATTTGTTGTAGATGTGTGGGACAGTACAGCTAGAGGAAGAGTCCAGAGCAGGGGGAGAAAGTAGTGGACTAAACAGGCCAGCAGACTGAGCAGGCCATGAGAGGAGTGGTGGTGGAAAGTGACAGCAGAAGAGGAGAGAAAGCCAAGAGGGCAAAGAGGCCAAGATTGAGCCAAGAGAGGAGCCAAGAGAGAGAAGAACCAAGAGAGCACATGGCCAAAATAATAGGGTTATATAGCAGAGAGGGGGAGAAAGCTGGGGGAAGGGAAGGGAAGCCCCTGACAGGTTTAAGGTAGGGGTGGGGTAAGAAGTGTTGAGGGGAGCCATAGGTACTGAATGAACCTGGAGACCAAGGGACACCTTGGTGTGCTAATAGACACCAGTTATCCTTTTGTCCAGGTTTTTTTTGGATGTGGTGGCGGGGACCTGACAAGGAGCTACCTTGGAAGGGTCTTGGAGAGCTAGCCAGGCTCAGAATATAACATTCTAGGAGTCATCACCTAATCTCCATGTCCTGGAGGACCTCTCTGTGTTGTCCCTATGGGGCAAGCCTGGCAGCTACAGGTCCCTTGAGCCAGGCTGAGGAGAAGAAGGCAAGACTGGGACACCCTTGCTTGCTTTCAACTTTCCACATTAGGAAAATTTAACAAGGCGTAGACAGGGTGTGGACGCACTACAGCCTCACTAATTCAGATGGACCTGTTCCCAGGATGTTGGTCCCGTACTGGAAGGTCACAGAGCCCACCCCACCCTCCTCAGTCGGCTCCAGCCCACAACCTGACTGAGCTTAGTACCACAGCAGGTCTGCACCAGCTTATGCAAATAAATGTGTCAGGAGCTCTCCATTCTCAAAGCCAAAGCCCCCTCCCACTGGTTTTAACTCCTCCCAAGTGCAATCACCCCCCCACACACACACTTCATCACAGCAGCCCCTCGTGGACACTCTTAGCCTGGTGAGGGTAAACCTATGGCAGGAGTCTCCCAGACACTGGCTCTGTCTCCCTGGATGCAGAGACCAGGCTAGCATTCCAGTGCACAGGACATTGTTAGAGGAGGGAAGAGGCAGCCTAGGAACCTGGAGTCCAGAGAGAAGGCTTCCTAAGGGAAGGGCTTGAAGCAGACCAAGGACAGTGGTCAAGGTCCATCAGCTCAGGTTGTTCCTAGGCAAAGGGAACTAGGTAGAAATTCGTGGATGCCACAGAAGTCTGGAAGAAACATGTCTTCAGGGTCTCTGGCAACTTGTCTTGAGATTGTGACCATGAGAGCGAAGGGCTGAACTCTATGGGGACTATGATGTTTACATGATGGCGGCCTCTGTGTTCTTGGGCAGCCTTTAAAAGACAAGATCTCATGAACCCTCCCAAACTGGGTACCAACCCTGCAACCTTGCCCAGCTAAGAGGTCATCAGGGTAAGGGGGCCTTTGCCTATGCCTTGAGGGTCCTACGTGGTCCACTCTCAGCTTGTTAGACTCTATGGAGCCCACAGTGTGGCAGAGGAAGGACTCCCAGGGCCAGGTTGGTTCTTAGCAGCATCAGCTGATGAAGGAGCCAGGTTTAGATGCTCAGGGGACAAGTCCCACCCACCTTGACCCAATTTGACTTGAGTTGCCTGACCAGGGAAAAGAGACTAGAATCATCAACCTCCTGTCTCCTGCACTGGCATCTTCCCTTGGTGGAGGTCACTTCTTGTTCACCAAAGCCTGTTCTACTCTAGGAGCCTCTGGCCACTGGAGCACTCCACCGCTGGGTGGACACTGGACTTGCAGTTGGAAGAACCAAGTTTAGGCTTTGCCGACAAGCTGGCCATGCCAGCCATCTGTCCTGTCATGTGGTCTACACTATCAGAGACACCAGCTCTCCCTGGCTCTCTTTCAGAAGCTTCTGGAGCAGGCACATGCTACCTGTGGCGTGTTTTAGTGATGTGCCTCATTCCACATTGATGCTGCCATGATACGTTTGCCTGAAGTTACAGAGCTGCTACTGAGTTGTATTCCGCTCACCTCCTGCAGGGCAGCACACAGTCCTATGAGATGCTTGGTGATGTTGGGCGTGGGTACCTTCCAGCAGGATTCACAGCCCAGTTTGTTTCCTCTGACCAGAGGGTAAGGTATGTCTGATACCCATTCCTAAGTGCCCAGCTTGGAGCCCAGTAGGAGATGGGTTGGACACACATACTCCAGGCCCCAAGCAGTCCCACTCACCTCAAACATTTCTCTCAGGAAAAGCTGTTGCTGCTGCCTGGCCCTGCCTACTTCTTCAGAGAACCACTGGCTCAGAGTAGGAGCTTCCTAAGGAACCAGGTTGCTCTGGGGCTATTGAGCTGATACTCAGTATCTGAGCCCATACTCGGTGCCTGTTCAGACTCTCTTTAAATGACTTTGGGAGCAGTTTGAGATTTTCTGGAAAAATTCTTCCAGAAAGTCATCCTAGGGTGTAAGGAGAGTCCTGGGAAGGGAGTGAGGCCATCTATTTACAGCCACTTATCTTATCTGGGACTGGCTAGGACAAGAAACCTGAAGGAATCCATATAGTCTCTATGCACTGCAGACCCTCCCACACTATAGCTGAGTATACAGGGCCAGTGCCAGCAACCCCAAACATCTGGAGATAGGAAATGACAAGAGGCCAGGAGGAAGAGGCCAGCAAGGATGTGCTAGGAACCATTTTGACTCACAGTGACTGAGTCACCCATCACCCCAGGGAGCCATGAGCAGGACCAGCATGTTCCCACACTCGTCCATGTAGCTCTGGAATTATTTCTGGTCTCCATGGCGCCTTCAGCTTCAGGAGTATAGGAGCCAGGCTGGGGGGATGGCCCAGTGAGTAAATCGCTTGCTGTGCAAGCATGAGGACCTGATCTTGGATCCCCAGAACTCATGTAAAAGTCAGGTTTAGTGGTGTACACCTGCAGGAGTGGTCAGTAGACAGGAAGATCCTGGGGGCTCCCTGGCTGGCCAGCCTACCAAAAACAGGATCCAGATTCCGTGAGAGAACTCATCTCAAAATGGCCAACCAAACAACAACCAAAAAGCAGAGACCGCTCAAGTAGGACATCTGATGTCAATGTCTATCCTTCACATATTCACAGTGAGCTCCTGCACGCGCGCGCACACACACACACACACACACACACACACACACACACATTCATACACCCCCCCACACAGAGAGAATGTAGAAGTCAAACAACCACCAGGAAAAGTGCCAGCCTAATCCTCACCATCTTGTTGGCACCCTGTCCCTCCCCAGGAGTATTTGTAGCTAGAGGCTGCAAACCAGTTCCTAGACTCTGTTCCTCTGCTAAGATGGAGATAACAAGTTACTGAGGACCAGGGTGCTGCCTGTCCCAGCAAGTGGATTGCCTAGTACTCCTGCTTGGATTTGAGTAGTAACTATTCCTCTGCTTCAAATTCTGAGTTCTGGACCCTACAAACCACACTCCTGGTCCACCAAGGAACTGGATGGTTTAGAAGCCCCCTGCATGCCTCACAGTGTAAGGTAGTGTGAGCCATACTGAGAACAGAACTGTGACAGCCATGCTGAGTGAACACACCTGGGCACTGGTACCTCCTAGTCCTATGTGTACATGCCTGGCCCCAGGGCAGGCCACGCTGGAGGACTTCTGCACATCTAGGAAATATGAGGGCATGCACACTCACACATGTACACATGCTTGCACACCATGCCCACTCCCACACATGTACACAGTGCCTGTGTTCACACATGCACACACACACCCTTCACACTCCCCCATACAATGCCCCCCATACATACATGTGCACTCATACAAGGAAATAGGAAGATAAGACTCCTATTGTCAGCTTTCCTGCAGTACCCCAACATGTAGAACTAGGATTCTGTCATGGGATGAAGGAGGCACCTTTAAAGACGTACTAAGTGAGCCTCCTGCCCAGTCGCCGGCATTACCAGGTGCTGTGACCCATGCACTCTGCATCCAGTGTGCAGGACCCTGTCCAGCAGGCACTGTGTGAGTGTCTTTTGCTGACTAGGCCCCTAAAGGTCTGAGGGATCTGCTCATACTCCTGCCTATACCAGGTAAAATACCCTCTGTGGGGTCAACCACCACATGCCCCCTATTCACAGGCTCTATAGACATTGGGTGGCCCTAACATCCTACTTGGTCAAGTTGCCTAGGAGGTGAAATATAGCATCACTCAACTGGCTGTGAGCTCTGACACCTCCATGCCACGGAGACAGAGTGACCCGGGATTTTGCTCTTAGAAGTAGGTTTGAACAGGTTCTGCTTTAACACACATTCCGCTCCATTTCCACCTCAACCAGGGAGATGAGGCAGTGAACTCTTCAGAACATCTGTATTTAGCTGTTACTTTTGCACTATAAAAACCCACCCTCCAGAAGCATCTGGCTCAGTGGACATACTCTCAGAGCTATACAGCCATCCTACTATCTCACTGCAGAGTGTCCCTTCCACCCTGGAGAAGAAACCCCATAGCTCTCATCACACCCGTAGTCCCGCCCCACCCTGCAGCTGCTAATTTCCTCTCTTGTCTCCATACATTTGTCTTTTTTGACATCTTATGTAACAGAACCATGCGGCATGTGGTCTTGTGGGCCTGGCTTCTTTCACTCAGCAAGCTTCAAAGTGCTGTGGGGTGAGTCAGCTCTGCATTTGTTCTTATGGCTGAATGATGGCGCTGCGTGAGAGACCACACTGTGCTGGCTGTTCTCTTCCCCTGTTGGAAGTTCTGACAGTTCCCACTGCTGCTATTGTGAGTAGCGGACATTTGTGTAGGAGTTTCTATGTGGATGGAAGTTTTCATTTTTCTTGGGTGTAGATCTACTGGTGCAGTCATTGGGTCACATGGCAACTCTAGGTTCAACATTCTGAGGAGTGGCCAGAGTGGTAGACCAGGTGACCCAGTTTTTCATTCCTGCTGGCAGCGTGAAGGTCTGCAGCTTTCCCAGGTCACCATCCCCTGTGATTGTCTATCTCGTGATGGCTGACCTTGTGGGTGTGAAGTGGTTTCAGTTTGCATTTCTTGATGCCTCATATCCACTTTGCATATGCTTACCAGCCACCGTCTCTGGAAAAATGTCCATTCAGATCTGTATTGGTTACTTTTCTGGTTGCTGTGACAGAATGCCTGGTAGAAGCCTCTTGCAGAAGGAAATGGTTAATCTGGCTCCCAGTTTAAGGAGGGACATAGTCGACAGCGGTAAGGAGGTCATGGTGGGAGGGTGTGTGACAGCTGGCCACATGACATCTGCAGTTAGGAAGCTGGAGCAGACAGGGAATAAGGCCAAGGATAAAACTTCAAGGCCCGTGGAGGCTGGAGAATTGGCTGAGCAGATAAGAGCACTTTTTCTTGCAGAGGGCCTCGGTTCGATTCCCAACACCTACAGGGTGACTCACAACTATCTGCAGCTCCAGTTCCAGGGGAGTGGATATCCTCTTCTGACCTCCAAGGGCACCAGGCATACATGTGGTATAGGCAGGCAAAACACTGTCCTAGATAGATATGGATGGATGGAAGGAAGGATGGATGGAAAACAAAACCCCCAAGGCTGCCCCTAGTGATGCACTTCCTACACTAAGGCTCTACCACCTACAGGTTCTATGCCCTTCCACAACTGCACCACAAGCTGGGGACCAGTATTCACACATATGAGCCTGTGGGAGACATTTCACACTCAGATCACAATGAGAGAGAGCCTTTGCCAATTTTTTAATTGGATTTTTGTCTTTCATTATTATCTTAAGAGTGTGTGGGGGGTCTGTAATTCTGTACTTGGGAGGAAGAGGCAGGCAGCTCTGTAAAGTTGAGGCCAACCTGGTCTACACAGTGAGTTCCAGCTAGCCAGAGCTAAGTAGTGAAACCCTGACTAAAAAAAGAAAAGAGAGGGAGGGGGTGTGTATATTCTAGGCTCAGCCCTTGTCAGATAATTTGCAAACCTTTTTCTCCCATTCTGTGCACTTCTCGAATACTTTCTTAACATTATCATTTGATACAAAAGGTTTTGCTTTGAAGGAGCCCTGTATTTCCTGTTGCCCTGTGTGCTTCTGAGCCCTTATATGAGAGCCCATTGTTAAAGTCAAGGTTACAAAGACTCACTCTTGCTTTTTTCTAAGTCTGTTAGGGTTTAGCCCTTGTATCCAGGCCTTCAGTCCATTTTCAGTTACCCTTTGTAAATGGCCTGGGGTAGGAGACCCACTTCGTTCTGTCATATGTGGGCAGCCAGTTGACCCAGGACCTTCTGCTGGGGGGCTACCCTTTGTCTTGTTGAAGCTGGCATACCATATATGAGGGCTGGTTTCTGAACCCTCAGTCTCTTCCACCGTGCCCTTTCCTAGACCAACACATACCCTTCTCTTGTAGATTGAAAGTTAGCTTTGAGGTGGGGATGTATGAGTCTCCAGCTGTGCACTTCTTTGTCCATATTGTTTTGCCTACTTGGGGTCCCTTGGATTTATGCAAAATTCAAGGCCAGATCAGCTGTCAAGAAAGCCAGCTAGTATTGTGACAGGGATTATGCCAAATCAGGGATACATCCCCAAACCACTTGATGTTTTAGGAGTTCTTAGGGACGTAGAGACTTCCACCAATGGTGAGGTCAAATCCCAGGGGCAGGTCTTAAATCTCCCATGACCAGCGCATGCTTCTCTCTGCCCTCTGAGCAGTGCCAGAGCTGCCCACCAGTCCTCTCCCACACGACTACATCCTCAAGAGTTGCCTGTGTCTCCCCAGGGCCCAGGGAAAAGCCAGGATGGACTGGTGAGCCCAAGTGTATGTGGAGTACCTGTCCTAGGGGAGCTCTGTGGGGTGCAGAGTTCACACAGAATTTAGACATACATCACTTTCCCTCAGCTCTTCAGATGCTGTCTCAAGTGCCACCTCTAAAGTCTATAAACTGCACCTCTCAGATCTCCCACCTTGGGGCCTGGCCTCCTCCTTGGACCCATGTCACATTGACACTTGAGCCAAGCTGGCACCCACAAGCCACTCCTAGGCTATATCAGCTTTGGTTTCAACGTTGCAATAAAGAGGTGCACACATCTTGCAGACATGTATCCATTCACTCTTTGTGAATGCATCCTTTCCTAGTTCTGCTGCTGGGATCCCCTGGAATCTCTATGTTGTCCTCTCCCTTCAGGAACTTTCCAGAGACCTAAGCAGGCCTCTCCACCTCTCAAAGGAAGGAGGGGACTCTAGGTGAAGTAAATGGGGGAGGGCTATATAGCAGGTGTTGGTAATTTGAGTGGCAGTGCATAGTGTGTCCTTGGTGCACCTCCTGGACCTACAGCCCCAAATCTTCCCAGAATCTCCCATGGTACCCCAGGCCCTGGCAGAGGCAACCTTTCAGAAACTAGCCCTATCTTATTTGGGATTGTCTGCCCCTCAGAATGTCCCATGAAGAACTTATCTACTGGGGTGACCATTCTCTTCCCCTGGGTTCACCTCTTGGTCACCTCTGAGTCCCGAGCTCCAGTGGGAAGTCTGGGGTGTCTTCTTGCTGTGTACCCCAGGCCAGTCTCATGGTGTTAGAATAGAACCCAGAGGCCATTGTAAGGTGGTCCTTCTGTCAGCCAATAGCTGACCTCAGAGGTCACAGGTAACTGGAGTCCACAAGAGGGCAGAATCCCTAGAAACCCCAAGCTGGGATTCAGGAACTGGATCCTGAACTGGACCCAATCTGAGCCTGGCTCCCCCAGCCACCCAAAGCTCTCAATGGGCAGACATCTCTCATTCAAGAGTTCCTAGCCACAGGACCACTGTCACACCCTCACAGTCTCAGGAATGCCATTGTGCCCTGCCCCTGGGAACCAAGGACTCCCTAGCTGCCACCCTCCACACCCCTGTGTGTCTCCATGTAGCGTTGCCCAGCCCCTTGCTGGAGGTGGCCGGGGACTGATGTACCCACTTAGGAATTCACCGCTGGCCTCAGGGAGGGGACACTGGGATGAGGCCCAGCCTGTGGGGAGCCCTCAGCCTGCCCCTTGATTTGTGGCCATTCTCCATCTTGTCTCCAACCATAATTTCTGCTCTCACCCCTCGTCCCCAAGCAGAGTTGGCCAAACCAAGGAGGAGGCAGGAGTCACAGCAGTGTTCAAGCTCAGCCCTCCCTGGGAACTGACTCACCTCTCGCAGCAGTCCTCAGTCCTCAGAGGCAGAGGCAAGGCTTTCTAGAGGGGAAACTGAGGCTGTGGCAAGCCACAGGGCCGGGACAGGTAGAAACCTGTAGTGCTGTCCTTTCTCGGGGTCTACACCATCCCACTGGTGCTGGAGTTTCTGCCAGGCTCAGGCTCCAGACCAAGAGGCACAGGAAGGTGGCTCCCATCTAAAGAAGCTGTGTCAAAGGGAGAACCAGAGATGCAGATGCCCCAGAGAGAATTGTTCCCGGTTCTGCTCCATGTTCCCTTGGTGATGATGGTGATGACAATGGTGACAGAGGTAAAAGTGGTGTTGACGGTGGCCTGAGTTGGCCTGGACTATGGCCTCCACTCTGGGAGCAGTGGGACAAGACAAAACAAAACAAAATTTCCATTTGTATTTCCACTTCTGGGGGCAGAGCTGTGGCTTACATGCCATCCCTTAGAGTGAAGAAGCAAAGGGCAGCTTCCACTCATGCGCCTGCCTTTATCTCCTGGGCTGAGGTTGCATGCTAAGTGACCGATAGGTTCACTACACCATTATGCCACCTGCTCTGTGACTTTGTACTCACCATCTCACTCACATGGGCCTCGTCCACAAAAAAAAGGAACAGTATTCTCTATGTTGCAAAGGGCTTAAAAATACTCAGGTCATACCTGCAAAAGTAACTGGTATACAATTATTAAACGTTAGACAGCAGCTCCATCACTAAATCACCACCATCATCACCATGTCATCGTCACCATTACCACCATAACCAATGTCACCATCATTGTCATCGTCACCATTACCACCATAACCAATGTCCCCATCATTATCATCATCCCCACTGCCATCATTACCAATGTCACCATCATTGTCCTCGTCACCATTACCACCATAACCAATGTCCCCATCATTATCATCATCCCCATTACCATCATAACCAATGTCACCATTTTTATCATCATCACCATTACCATCATAACCAATGTCACCATCATTGTCATCGTCACTATCATCTCCAGCACTCCCATTGTTTGTTTTCCCCTGTGGAGACACTATGAGTCCTATAAACTCAAATGCCAGCTCCAAGGACAATTTCCTCTTTCTATATAGGAAGAACGAGGCCCAGAGCGTAAGCAGCTGACCCAAGGCCACTGAACTGTGAGCAGAGATGGCCTACCCTGGCCCCATGCATGGGTCTCTGGACCTCCATTATCCTCCAGTAGAGAGATGTTCTCACTGTCCGGGACAGGCTTGGGATGAGGAGGCACTCACTCTGTGTTCAGTTACCATCAGCAAAACCACTGAGAGGATCTCGGGAATAAACAAGTTGCATTTTTTGACAGAGGATGGAAACTGACTCATAGGAAATAAGCACTCCAAGTACACTGTCCCGTTAGGTATGAAGCGAGTCAGGTTTCCGAAGCGTGGCCAAGAATGCTGTGGCTTGGTACAAGGGGATGACGCCATCTATGGGGAAGCTGGCGTGGGGGCCAGAGGCCTGGAAGCACTCCGTGGGAACTCTGACCCTCCCTCGGCGTATGTCCTGTGCCAAGCCCCACCCACTGGCACCCACAGCTGTGCTGGGCATCTCTACACATGGGTACAGCCTGGCAGCTGGCACTGGCCACGAGCAAGGTCCTTGCAGGGGCTGCTGGGAATTGGGTCCTAGTTTGGTTCTGAATCTGAACTTCAGTTTTGAGACCATCTCAGTGAGACAGACCTTTCTGTGTACCTATGGATGGTCCGGTACCATGGTTGATAGGATATAATAGCACTGTCTGAAGGAGTAAAACAAGTCCAGATATACAGGGTCCCAGGCTGAGAAAAGGCTGGCTTCAGGCAAGCATGCTGGGAGCATAGGTGGATTACCTCAGGTGCCAGCTCAGAACCATCTAACCTCCATGAGCTGCAAAGAATAGCCATCAAGGCCACATAGAAGCCCAGAGGAAGGGCTTAGCACTAATTTCAGAAAAAGAAGATGAAGGCTCTGAGGTGCCCCGAACCTAGGGTCCAGCTCCTGCCTGTATTCAGAGATATTAAGTTACATTCCAGCCAATTATACCCTGGCCACAGCCTCCTGCGGTACCTGGAATTCATATCCCTGGCATGGGACACACCCCATCAGGCCGTGGCTGCTGATCAGTGTTTGGGTGAACCTGGCAGCAAACTGAGCACCTGTCTTCACTGGTTGCAGCGCTATCTTTGTGGGGAAAACAACCACCCCTACCAAAGGAACTCATTGTTAGCACTCACCCTGGAGCTCCCCACCTCCCAAAACACAAGCAGACATGAAATCCCCCTTGGAACCTAGCAGGCACACAGATGATAGAACTCTCTAGATTTGCTGGGTCGTGGCAAAAGCAGGTCCCCAGTTGAGTCACAGTTAAAAACACGAGGCATTCCTTCCATTTGATAGAGAGAGAGAGAGAGAGAGAGAGAGAGAGAGAGAGAGAGAGCCTGAAGCCTTGCCACTCTACCCAGCCTGTGTCCTACCTCTGAGGGAGGAACATCTGTCTGTCCTCTGAGGTTAGACTTCATGACCTCGGTAACAAGTCTGGCTTGGGGGACCTCAGAGGAAGAGAAACACTGGCAAGGAGGCTAAGCACCTCCTCCACTAAGCATGAACCAGAGTATGATGTTGAAGGACCAGTGACAATGGAGACTCTGCAGTGCAGGGCATGTGTGTTTGTGCATGTGTAAAGGGAGACAGGGAAAAAAAATCTTAAAGTTTGGCCCTGTGTACAGATGTCACCCCCTTTTCTAAAGACAGTGAAGCTTTACGCTGTCCGCAGCTTTCCTACCCATGAGCAGAGCTTCCTCTAATGCCTGTGGCCCCAGCTTCATGTCAGAGACCCGCACACTCCATAGCTATGATGGGGGGGGGGTGAGCATGTTCACACCACATATCTGTCACTGAAGAGTTCACACCACCCTGGCCGGCTGCCTGATGCATACTGAGGGTGAACTGGAACCTACTCAGCATGGCCTTCTAGACGCTTCCCACCATTTAGTCTTATGGAGGGTGTGAGGCCTCCTTCTGCCTGAATTCGCTGCTCTCCACACTCCTCTGTGGGACTTCGCTCTACAAGTGGGACTTGTCTTGAAGCACCTAATATCTGTAAGCACAGAGCAAGGTGCCAATGGGCTGTGCTAGCTGTGACTTGATTTTGGGGTGCCAACATACCTGCTGCCGCACCCTGGCTAGCATCTCTTGACACTGGCAGAAGAAGAAGCAAAGATCAAAATCTAGACCACAGGCTACTTGGAAAAGGTCACTGTAATAAACCCTGTGTCCTGGGAAGAGGTGTTGACCAGTAGATCACTCATCACTTTTGGCCCCTCAGAAAAAGATCTAGGACTACAATAAGGTCACCCGGAAGGTGACAGAACATTGAGTCCAGAATCAGATTGGGCATGTATGTGTCTCACAGCCTGGAGCGGTGGCCTGGAGGGTGTTGGGTGAATCGTCATCTCTGAGTACACATCTCCCACGAGCCTGTGGTTGGAACCTCGTGGAATAACAGTCTTTGCGATGCAGCTAAAACAAAGCTCTCAAGATGAGGTGATCCTGGGTTAGGGTGGACCCTCTATCCAGTGGTAAGTGTCCTTACAGAGAAAAGAAAGGAGATCATAGACAATCCACTCCCATCTGCCTGTGCTCTTTCCTTTTATAATAATAGTACCACTCGTCAGTGAGAAATGCTTTTGGTAGCAGACACCATCAGCATCATACAGACCCAAGGAACAATTGTGTATCCATACTCGAGACCCACCTTCTGCTCGCTCACCTGAAGCTAAGTATTAGAGCATCCTCTACTGAGTAGCCAGTGACTGCAGTCTAATGGCTGAAAGCGACTTACTGGATTTCCAGTCTGGTACTATGACTCCCCATACCATTGGTGAGGCTGGTTGCTTTATGGTAGCTCCAAGGGGAGCCTGTCTCCTGTCTCTTGCCTCCCTTTCTCCTGGAGACAACAGTACCTCAAATGTGTTCTCTATCTCAGGTATGTTCCTCCCTCTCCCTCTCCCCTTCCCTCTCCCTCTCCCCTCCCTCTCCCCTTCCCCTCCCCTTCCTCCTTCATTTCCCCCCAGTCATGTTCTCTGGCTCAGCATGCTTCAGGATGTGTTCAGGGCTAGTCCATCCTTCCCTTTGGTGCTAAGCTGCCAGGCTTCCTTGAACGGAGACACCTAAAGTCATCAGCACCTTTTCCAGAGCTGTGGGTGGGGGGGGGGGGGGAACACCACCACCAA